CGTTTTAGTGGTTTAATTTGTTAGCTTTAGATTTTATAAGCCCATTGTTTCGTTTTAGTGGTTTAATTTGTTAGCTTTAGATTTTATAAGCCCATTGTTTCGTTTTTAGTGGTTTAATTTGTTAGTTTTAGATTTTATAAGCCCATTTTCTCGTTTTTAGTGGTGTAATTTGTTAGTTTTAGATTTTTTAAGCTCATTTACTCACTTCTAGTGGCTTAATTTGTTAGTTTTAGATTTTATAAGCCCATTTTCTCGTTTTTAGTGGTGTAATTTGTTAGTTTTAGATTTTATAAGCCCAACTCTTATTGTTTAGTAAGACCAGTTAGGATAGGAAAGGCATGGCAGTGGTTGAGATGCTATTTATATCAACAAATTGCCTGAGAACAATTTTGAAAGTGTGAAATTGATTCAAAGATAATGATACATAAATCATACCATATATGCTATGTTTAATGCAGACGAGGCCTTTCGCCTCATACCAAGACTTTTCAGGTCAGCTGGATTCGAGAGATACTGCAGTGATTGAGACGCTACTGATATCAGAAAACAGCTGCATAATATATATATATATATGTTTCTTAGCTAAATATTCATTTAAGTAATATCACTGGACCACTAGCTTTAGTCATTTTTTTTTCTATGATTATGTTTGTCCGAGATTCTTTATAACACCCCAGGATCACCGGAGACTAAATGTGTGTTTGCCGAGATCATTTTTTTTTCAATAAGAAAGAATTCAATTTATCAAAATGTGTATATTTATAAACCAATTTTAGTGATATTTCGATTGTTTAATTGGATTTATCGACGAACGCACTTAGCAAATAATAAAATATAATAATAGCTCAGAAAGAAAATCGTCACAGAGTAAACCTATTTAAAATCCGGGGTTCGATCCTCCGTGGTGGACAGAGAACAGATAGCACTGTAAACTTACTTAAGATAGAGGGTAATGTTATCCACAATAAACATGTTTGTTTGTTTGTTAGCTTTCGGAATAAAAGAAAACATTTGTATGGCATAAATAATTTTTTCCATCAAATAATAATGTTTCTAAACATCCGCAGAAGATAACCATTTACTTTAACTAACTGTTATAAGATAACTAACTGTTATAAATAAATGTTCGTTTTATGTTTGTATGATTAGAATTTTACAAATGTTATTTCACTAGAAATTATAAAACTAACAAGTTAAACCACTAGAAGTGAAACAAAGAACTGAGTAACTCCACGCAACTCTTATTGTTTAGTAAGATATTGAACTGGGTAACTCCACACAACTCTTATTGTTTAGTAAAATACTGAACTGAGTAACTCCACATAACTCTTATTGTTTAGTAAGATACTGAACTGAGTAACTCCACACGAACTGAGTAACTCCACGCAACTCTTATTGTTTAGTAAGATATTGAACTGGGTAACTCCACACAACTCTTATTGTTTAGTAAAATACTGAACTGAGTAACTCCACATAACTCTTATTGTTTAGTAAGATACTGAACTGAGTAACTCCACACTTATTGTTTAGTAAGATATTGAACTGAATAACACCACACAACTCTTATTGTTTAGTAAGATATTGAACTGGGTAACTCTACACAACTCTTATTGTTTAGTAAAATATTGAACTGAGTAACTCCACACAACTCTTATTGTTTAGTAAGATACTAAAATATCGAACTGAGTAACTCCACCCAACTGTTATTGTTTAGTAAGATATCGAACTGAGTAACTCCACACAACTCTTATTGTGTAGTAAGATATCGAACTGGGTAACTCCACACAACTCTTATTGTTTAGTAAAATATTGAACTGAGTAACTCCACACAACTCTTATTGTTTAGTAAAATATCGAACTGAGTAACTCCACACAACTCAACTGTTATTGTGTAGTAAGATATCGAACTGAATAACTCCACACAACTCTTATTGTTTAGTAAAATATTGAACTGAGTAACTCCACACAACTCTTATTGTTTAGTGGGGTGGAGTTACTCAGTTCGATATCTTACTACACAATAAGAGTTGTGTGGAGTTACTCAGTTCGATATCTTACTAAACAATAAGAGTTGTGTGGAGTTATTCAGTTCGATATCTTACTAAACAATAAGAGTTGTGTGGAGTTACTCAGTTCAATATCTTACTAAACACTAAGAGTTGTGTGGAGTTACCCAGTTCGATATCTTACTACACAATAAGAGTTATGTGGAGTTACCCAGTTCGATATGTTACTAAACAATAAGAGTTGTGTGGAGTTACTCAGTTCAATATCTTACTAAACACTAAGAGTTGTGTGGAGTTACCCAGTTCGATATGTTACTAAACAATAACAGTTGTGTGGAGTTACTCAGTTCAATATCTTACTAAACACTAAGAGTTGTGTGGAGTTACCCAGTTCGATATGTTACTAAACAATAACAGTTGTGTGGAGTTACTCAGTTCGATATCTTACTAAACAATAAGAGTTGTGTGGAGTTACTCAGTTCGATATCTTATGAAACATTAACAATGAAAGACATTTCAGTCTAATACATTTTATTAAGAAACAAATGTTTAACATTTCTATACTTGTGTTTTCCTCAATCATTATTTATCTATTTATTTATCTAACGATAACAGTTGTATAAAGTTCCGGTATAATTTTCCCCCTCTTAAAACAGAAAAAGAGATTTTCATCCAACGGACTATTTCGTTTCTGAACCTAAAAGTAAATATTTATAAAGTTGTCTTTTCTATAACAAATTATAAATCCTGGACTTAATTCATCTGACTTCTAACACTCCAAATTCCAAACAAAACTTGGAAAAATTGTATTGTTTCTACTCCACTTCTTATTTTGATATTCGCTAATTAAGAGTCAAGATGTGGCGTTGATTAGTGTGTAGCTTAACAACAAACAAAACACTTCAACCACATGATTGAATAATTAGAGTTGTTTAAACATTTGTTTAACAACAAGTTAAAGCTTGGAATGGTCTGTTCTTTCATTGGGGTATGTGTGTGTGTGAGCCAGACTAGTTTCGGAGAATTCCACTCCTCATCAGTGGCCCTGGACACTACCACCAATGAAATATCAGACCAAACCAAGCCTTTATAGTAGTGAGGTATCGAAAATCGAAATGGTGTATTTAAGTGTTTTACACTCACCAAAATGAAACCTATCATTCTATAGGTATTTGAAGAACTTGTAGCATTCCGCCACAATTTCTTCACAAGAATGGTAGGTTTCTTTTTGGTGAGTGTAAAACACGTAAATACACCAGTTTGATTTACACTTCAACTATTTAGTTATTGCAAATTTCCATCTTAATCTAAGGTGTGTGTTTTGTTTTTTACGTGCTTTTAACACTCTGACGCAACAATAACGTTAGTCTCAGACTTTGAAATTGACGCTAGGTAACTCTTCTATTTACTCCACAGGAGAACAATTGGATCGGATGCACAATAACCCACGTGATTGAGCTTCAGCTTAGAAACTTTTGATGAATTGATATTTTTATTCTCATCTCTTGTTGGAGGAAGAGAACGGTTTTCTTATACTTCGTTTAATTTGTCAGCTGTGTGTGTTTGTTTTCACTTTTCCCAAGTTAACAATCCATTATGTAACAAGTAATTAGTTGATCAGTGTACAGGAGTTGGAGACACAAATTAGAAACACACAGTGAGAGCGATTTAATACCGCGTGGTTCCACCTTTGCCTGTTAAAATGCCTTTAGCTGTTTATAATAGTTGCCTTGCAAGTTTCTGAAAGATATTTTGAAAATTTAGGTTCTACTCTTCGAGAAAAACAGTTTGACTTAAAGCACTTGGTCCCGTTCACTCGTGATGGCCTTATAATTTACATGAGATACGCTTCATGCTGCTATACCCTATTACAGCTACAGGTGTAGGTAATTGAACTAATGATATCATGAAGTGTTTTGACTATCTTAACTGGTTTATATCGTCTTAATTGGATTTTATATACTCGAAGTCCTGAAGTTGAATTCTGATAATTAACCTTTTACACTATACTGTATTAACTAACCAAGATTTAATTATATAAATGAATTTAACTACCAGGCCTGGCATAACCTGGTGGTTAGGGCGCTCAACTAGCAATCTGTAGGTCGCGGGTTCGAATCTCCTTCATCAAACAAGCTAGCCCTTTCAGTCGTGGAGACGTTATAATGTTATGGTCAATCCCACTATCCGTTGGTAAAAGAGCTGCCTTTCCTCTAGCTTACAATTGCTAAACTAGGGACGGCAGACAGTCCTTGAGTAGCTTTGCACCAATTTCTAAAATCAACCAACCCAATTATTTTTATCAATTATTAACTTATCTGAAAACATCGTGGCTTCGTGCAAAACAACTGTTCCAATCCAGCCAGCTGTCGTATTTGCATAGCTTCCAGGGGGAACGGGTCACCATTCCCATCCGCTTGTATACCTTCCAGGGGGGAACGGGTCACTATTCCCATCCGCTTGTATACCTTCCAGGGAGAACGGGTCGCTATTCCCATCCGCTTGTATACCTTCCAGGGGGGAATGGGTCACTATT